CAACTCATTTGTTTTATCCTTTCAAAACCTTTGATTTCACAGTTTATAGATATTCTCTTTTCTAGCTTTTAGAAACTTACGGAAGCAGAAGGGAAAAAATTTACTGTGGGGAAAGAATGTTTTTGTACATCTCATCTTCCCCCTTCTGTGGAGATTGGCTTTATTTCTAGGTCTCAATAAAAACATATAATTGACAACTTAACAAACCTACTTTTTCTTGCACTGAACACAGACCCTGCATTCCATTTTCAGCCAGCAGTAAAAAAAAGATAATCATTTATGCCACATTCACATAGGAGATAAGGGCATGGCTTATTAATGGAAAGGGCAATTTTATAGCATAGGTTGTACAATGGAACATAGGAAAATGCAGGACACATCTGATACAATATCCAAGGGAGATTTCCAGCTCTAACCAGTGATAACAAAAATGTATCTTGTGCTGAATTCAGCTGCCAACTCTTACCTTTGCTCAATCTCTGTGCTGAAAAAAACAATGCAAAACTACTGTCAGGTACAGTACCCACACAAATGACAATGAGAAGTTAGTGTGTGAAAAAACAGGTAATTCACAATGTTTGTACTCCACTACCATTTACCTCTCAGATCATTAGGTCAACAACTCTGTTCAATTGTGCCAATAATGCACTAGAGTCTCCTTCCTGAATATTACATCAGAATGTCTTGAACTAGATCTCACTGCTTATCAACTAATAGTACTCTATTAATGCAAAGAACTATATTCAGCCACTTTTTTTTTTTTTGAAAACTGAAAAGGCATTGTTGTCATTTTGGTAATATTTCTCCTTCCTGTCTAGTCTCTGTGGCACTTCTTGCTACTCAAGAAAATGCAGGGCTCTTATATGATTGTGCTATGATGTAAATGTGTCTGTTCTCTCATGCACAGGGCCAGCCTTGTAAACTTAGTAGTTCTAGCTGTAGGTAATGCACAGATTAACCCACAAGCACACAAAAAAGGATCTCAGAAATGTGAGTTGTAGTCCCATCGTTCATTGGAAATTCTTAATTCTTTCATGCACAAGAGTTAATTTTTTCAGGTATAGTATCCTGCTTCAGAAAATGAGCACCCTGATCAATCTTTGCCAAGGAATACAGCAAACAACACAGAATGATCTCCATAGGATAAAAAGTTTCATGATATATGACATGCACTGCTAAACAATTAAGGAAATTATTGAAGTTCTGAAAAAAAATCACATGCCTTGCACTTGTTAATCTTTGGAATACATTTCACACTGTTTATTTTTGTACTGCCTGGTTGCTCCTACCATGCTTAAGGGCCTATTAGCATTTCCACCATGAGCAGTTTATTTCAGTGTATTGTAGTGCAACTGCCAAAATACATATTTACATTATAGACAGTGGCAGCTTCGTTTTTCTGATTTAAAATGTGCTCTCTCAAGGTCACCTAACTGCAGAGCTTCCAGGGCAGCTACAATCAACTGAGTGAAAAACACAATTGTAAGTAGTGTCTAAATAGACTCCAAAGTAGCATCAAACCGTGGAAATCAATTGGAAATGTGTACTCACAAAAATAAAGGCACTCATATAGAATGAAATAAAAGCTTACTGAAAGATACAACACATGCACTTAAAATGCAAGCAAGTGGTTGAAGAGGGTAAGTAACATACACAGAACAAAGTAGTACAGCATGAGAGCAAATTAAACATGCTACTCCAGACACTGTTGTGATGGTTAGATAAGACACGTAACTAAATGGGACAGGGTCCTCTATAGACATCTTACCATTTTCCTATCAGTTCTGCAAGCTGTAGTGTAACAGGGTTTGAAAGTTATGAGATATTTCAAGACACCAAAACACTCTAACACAGCTTTGAAGAAATTCAGCAAATCGTTACATTTTTCATTGACCTGAAATGGACTATGTCACACACTTATAGTTCATTGGAAAAATTAAAGTCTATTTTAAGTTTTTCTCTTTTTAAAATATTAATAAAATTGTCTCAAGTCTCTCTAACCAGAGGTATTTTATGTGCTGTCCTTCAAATTAAAAAAAAAAATATATATAGATTTAGCTCTGAACAATATGTATCAATACAAAGTTTAATTCATAGTGGTATTACTGAAACACTTCCTTCAATTGAAAGCCTGTTAGTAACATAACACAAATTTAAGTTTTTCATGTGTTCTTCTTGGGAATCTCTCATCAATTATTTTTACTTTTTCCTCCCCTCATCTTCTTTACCACAGCTTTTGCTACCAAACTGAGGTCTATTTTCTAAGGAATTGCCCCTTTTGGTTAACATGAATTAAGTTACCATTTTAATTCAGATGAAGCTCAACTTTATTACTTTTGTATAGCTAATTCCTGAGGTGAACAGTCAGTTATTGGCAAGAATAAAGTTGTCTTTTCCATCAGATACAATTGCTGCTCTTCAAGTACAGCATGCAACCAATGCTAGAAAAGAAATTTGTAAATATTGCTAACCTTTGTCTGGGTCACTTAATCCATTATCCAAATTCACTCTGTTAAGTTTGTTTTAAGTAGTTTGACACTAAATAAAACTACAAACCATTTCTTTGCTTACATTTAAAAGCTAATGTTGTTGTTGTAAGATTGAACATATGGCTAAAACACTTTTATTAGTCCCAAAGATGAATGTTTGTAACTGTGGTGGATTTGAGCAGGTTATTTTACTATTTGTTTTTCTTTTGAGAAAAATATGACTATTTGAAATTGATTGAAAAAGGATTTATTTTGTTTCTGCATACAAAATTAGATGAAAATAGCTAATGTAAAACTTTTTGTAAACGAGACCAACACTTAGTGACAACGATTCTATCAGAATTTTGTGGAAAACTCACTTTAACAGACAAACTTCAGGCTACTTATTTCCTCCCTCTTCCAATCTTACCACATTAAAGAATTAAGTTTTTATTGAAGCATTATTAAGCTTTTCCATGAAATTCAGAGGTAATGTTTATATTGTAACTGCAGTAGCCTCCCTTTCATAAGGACTTTCCTACTTCTGGACCTATAGTAGAGGTTGGCTGGAATTTCTGTGGATAAAATGACTTCTGTCATCAGTTATATATAACAATGGAAATATCTCATTCGTACTAGAAGATATTGTGGGCTCACTTCCCATCCTGAAACCCAAGAGTTTTTACCACAAAATTTAGTTAGAAAAGTCAAAATGGACTAAACTCCACATATATCTGACAGAACTAAAAGGTAGCCAGTTGAATGTGTGCTACTAATTCAAAGACCTTTAAGATTGCTTTTCAATTTCCAAACATTTTTATATAAAAACGTTGACAAAAAATTGCTTACTCCTCCCACATGCACCCCTCCCCCCCCTAACATCATCTGGCTGATGTCAAAAGTGATTTTTAAAGACCTTCCTCTCTCTCTTGCCTCCCTCACTCCCAACAATTGCACATTGAGACGTGGACTTAAAGAACAACATAACTCTTCAAGTATGTTTCATGCCAATCATCAATAAGAGTCATAACATTACTAAAAAAAGTACACTTGTCTTTTTGGAAGCCTGAGGAGGACTTTCCTTGGAGTATGGATGAAGAACCATTAAAAAAAAGAAAGAAAATTCTTTGGACTTAAAGAAACAGTTGAGAATTCACATTTGAACATGAAGAACTAACCCTAGTAGGAATCCATTTTCACAGTACTGCATAAAGTCATGTGCATGAAACAAAAAAACTTACAGATATTACTGTTGATCAGCTCTATACATATAAACTAAAGCTGGCATGTAAGAACTGGAAATATACTGGCCTCTCTGCTGACAATTTTGTTAAGGCTGACAAATTTGAATAAACCTTTGGATCCAGAAGTATTTCTTAAATGTAATCTCTTGTCATCAGGATTGAGGGCTTAATAAAGAGGTAATTATTTCATTGTGAAATCATTAACCTCTTGAAAGCACCGATGGCAAAATATGTATGTATGCTCTTATTTGCACTTGTATGAAAAAGTTGTCTAATTTTAAGGAAGCGTAGAGAAGAGTAAAAGAACACTGGTTTTCACAGACAAGAAATCCTTCTGGAAATGCAAGCTAGATTTTGAACAGGTACTGAAATTTGGAAACTATAGAACACAATATATATTATATATTCCAACATGTCACTGTATAACAACAAAGATTTTTTTTTTCAAAGAAAAGAATTTAATTTATCAGATGTAAAAAAACAAAAAACAAAAACATGTCTAAGTATACTGTATGAACAAATAAAAATGTGATGCCAATAGTTTTATGGTAAAGATGAGTCACACACCAGCAGCAGAAGCGTGTCAAAACTTGTAGTAATAAATAGCTCCAAATTAAGAATTTTCTACATCATTTCCTTAGAAAATAGGACCAGTATTCCTCCTTTTATGGTGATCCTGTAGAACGCCTTCACTTTCATATATATATATCTAATATTATAACATTAAAACAGACACAAGAATGTTGATGACAAACAATGTTGGATTCAGGACAGCAGAGAGTAATACTTTTTTGTTAAAAGTCCTACTGGTTTATTGACTAAGGCTAGACAGCAAGTCATATGATCCTATTTGGTGCATTTTCTACCACGGTCCAAGATCAATAAATGGAGAGCGCTAAGAACCTGTGGTCTAACCCACCGTGGCAGACTGGAAACAAAAAATAGGGCCACTTTTTGGTCCCCCACTTTGTACCTCGCTTCCTGGAACTGCAGAAGTGGAAACAAGACTACAGCGTTTTAAGTGACTAGAGAAAGTCAGCAATAAGTGGCATTTTAATATGAATAAGGTTACTAGGCTTGTGATGGTGCTGCATCAAAGGAGCATACTTAGACCCGAGTACTTGTAGCATCTGGTAGTGTTATTCCCTCAATGATTTTAGAATATATGTATGCAATAATAAATAGATCAGTTATGTAATAAGGCAGTGTGTTGAACATGCATTCGTCTTGTGGACTTGAACACCACAGAGAGAGATACATGATACCATACACATTCATTAAGAATAAGGTTTTGTTTTGTTTTGTTTTTCAAGGCTATCCAGGCTAACTCTTCCAGAGCATTTCCTTGGTGAGAAGATCCTCTGAGTCTTGTCACTTTTCCTCTCCTTTATCAAGAGATGATGACTGGCTTTAAAGAAAAATAAAGCTGAAGAGGGCTGGTACATTTTTTTCTCATTTTGGTTGCATCATTCTGAATGTTTTATTTAAAAAAAACAAACAATATTTTTTGATGCAGCCAGATGCTGTATCCTCAAGATGTCCCAGAGGTTTCCAGGTAACTCTGTAGTTTACGGACTGTGGTTTTGTCCAGCGAGCAAAGGTCAAAGTCAAAGGTTGTGTTTGTGATATGAAAATGGCCAGTTTCTTCTATAAGGTTTACAATCTGAGACGGGAAAAAAAGGAGGGAAAACAATTCTGTTAAAAGCTGTTTCATGCTTTTAGAATGTATTATGTAACCAAATGCTCCTCCCAAATAAACTAGGTATTACCACGTAAAGACTATGAAGAAGTCAATTTGCATCATCTTTCTCAGGTGGAACAAAATCCAGAACTTTTATCCCCTTCCTGAGTCTCTTGAAGTTTTGATAACATAGATTCTTGGTCCAAACTGGACCGGCTTATATTTTCAGAATGGGACTAGTAAGAGTGTTGAAAACTAAGCTCCAAATCTAGCTTTGGCTCATCTCCAATCAAATTTTGTGCTTTCTAGCCACGATTAGCAATGAGGGGTTCATTTTAAAAAAAATGTTTGGAGTCCTGTATAAATTACTAATTTTAAAAGCTCTTTTGGAAGCACAGAGGTTTTTTTCCAGTGCATTTATTAGAGCCATAGATAGTGAGCTTATCGTTATAGGAAGTGACAGGTATTAAACCAATTGGAAATATACAGATTTGCTGCAAGTTTTTATTTATGAGGAAAAATGGAGAGTAGTATTCACAAGAGAAATGCAGAACAAGGGCAAAGAAAAAATAGCAAAAAAAAGTTAAGGGCCTACCTACACTACACTATAGCCCTCAAAAAATTTAATGCAGCTGCAGTTTGGTGCATAACCAGCACAGCTCTCACTGTTTGGTCTTGGGCACACTTATTGTCATGAACCCAGCATGACTCTCATGGCAGGATTTTTTCAGCATCTGATGTGTGCAGACTGGGAGCTGGTGAAGGGGTAGACTCTGTGGCAGCACTCCTGGGCACATCTCAGCATGGACTAATTTGGTCTGCTTGGCTGAGTTTTGTGCTGGTGCAGCTACACTGTAAGTGGTACCCATCCCATCCCATCCCAAAACACTTGGGTATCTCCACACTGAAAACATAGCCTGCACTACAGCCATACCTTCCATTCCTAAAGAATGAAATGACTGCATGGTAATTAACTGTGGTATGGATTTTCCTGATGAGTGCAAGCAAAACTGTCACAAAAAGAATAAAAATATTATGGCAACATTATTGAGGTCATAAGTCTTGTCAATCCAGGAGCATTATAAATAGCTTCCCCTCCCCCCCTTTTCGGAAGCTTTTTTATGATATAAGGAAGAAAAAAAGAAATAAGACTATGTATATTTCTCTCTCAAATGGAAGAGAAAATACAACCCATGTGTTTAATATGATATAAAAGGTTTTGCTTAAACACCTACAACTACACTTGAAACTTCTTGCCAAAGTATGTAACAACTCTACAAATCTGACCGACACATGTTATATGAGTGAGGAAATTTCAAAAGGAACAATATAAACAACAAAAAGGCAAACAAACTCCACATTCGATGCACAAAAAATATTTGAGACTCTACCCATATCTGCATTTTGAGTAAATGGTGTAAGGTGTTGTTTGTGGGGGTTTTTGGCCGGGGGGGAGCGGAAGGGGAGGGTTGGGGTTTTTTTTGTGTTTTTACACAATGGACAATTTTTCAGAAGATTTATTTAAATTTTGAATGGGTCTCAAGCTTTTGATTTAAACATGATTTTTTAGACTGAACTCTTAAGGAAATGGACTGAGATTTTCATATGTATTTATATGGCACATAACAGTGAGACTGATAAATAATAGGAAGTAGGGATATTGCTGTAATAACAATAATAATAAACATTTGATTTTTGACTGCAGTTTTCATCTTGATTCAGTAGTACTTGATGCAAGATTCAGTTACGTTATTCTTTCTGAATGCTACATAACAGCTATTAAAATTGTTCAAACAAACATATATCAGTTCAGCACAACTTTGCATGTGTAGATATTTTGCTGTCATGTACTACAATGGGTTGCCACATGGCGATGAATGTACAGAAAGATCTACAACCATCCGTTCTTTTTCAGTATGAACATTTTGTTTCCACCACTGAAAGTAACCATTTTCCCCATGACCCTCACATTCGTTTTGTTCCATTAAGACTCTTATCCCGCATCTTTTACCCACACAGAACACCCAATATGTCCATGAGTGTTTTGCCAGGACTAGGCCACAGGGATATCATCTGATTCCTGATCTCTGTAACACAAACAAGTAGAACTTCAACTAAAGTATTATAGATTTTGAACATTTTAAACCAAAGCTGGCTGGGATTTGAGACTGCATTTTTCAGAAGGTTGAACCAATTCATTCATATCTTTATATATATAAAAATAGTATTATAATATATTCAAAACATCCAATGATTATATTTAAACTGTAGATTGTGTTCCCCAGCATGAGAACAAAAATCCATCCAATTTGTTCCAATATAGCTTGAAATGGCAAAACTGACACATATATAATAACTAAAGAGCAAAACAATTAACTTATTAAAACATACAGCTGTATTTATGTCAAGTCTTGTCTAATTCCACCCTCATTTTGTTCTTTCTAAGGAGGGTTCTTCCAGCCTATACTGAGTGAAAAACATATTACTCTGACACCAAACTAAATAATGTAAGGTACAGACAGGTCAGAAACTGCATGACCTGGACAACTAGATATCACATCATGGTAGTAAGATAAAAAAGCAGAGGGGAAAACCTCTCTCAAATTTTAAACCCCTCTATCTAAACACATCTATTCTTTTCACCAGGGAAAATGACAGCAGCAGCAGCAACAACAACAAAAATAAAATCAATTTGGGTTTCAATCAGTCCAGAATTCTCCATACTGATATTCCAAATTTAGACACTTCCTAGAATTGATTCTGTTTCTATCTGTGCTTCATTTAAATCTGTGCTCCTTGGTTTTAATATTTTTCACCTTGACATTTAATCTGAGAACATCTGTTCCATTTTTCCACTTGAACTTGAGAGCAAAATAAAATGATGATACAAAAACTAGGGGTGTGCAAAATGGGCCGTATTCGATTTGGATTTGGCCTGAATTGGGGACAGTGATTCAATTTGTTGATTCAGATCACTGTCCCAATTTGATTCAGCCAAATCCGAATCTGATGATTCAATGCTGATTCAGAGAATCCGCAATTTGGCCAGAGACACAGCTTTAAGTGTTTTTTCTACATACTTTGAGGTACCAGGCATGGGTCATGAACAATATGAGGCTGGGGCGGATGAAGCATGCCACAGGAGCATGGGGGCAGGGTCCCCTGCGTGCTTGGTGGCGAACCTAGAAGTGGACTGGAAGTACTTCCGGGTCCACTGCAGAGCACGTGGGGGGGTCCCCTGTGCATCCCTGGCTTGGCAATCAGCTGTGGGGGACCCCAGGTGCCCCCCAGACCCAGGAGCCACCAGTCACCAAGTGGGGGGGGGCATGGGGGACCCCCATGTGCTCCCTGGTGAACCCAGAAGTGGTCCAAAAGTGTTTCTCGTCCACTTCCAGGTTTGCTGCTGAGTGTGCTGGGGCCCCCACTGTGCTTCTGTGGAATGCTCCATCCACCCCACCATCTCAGCATTCATGAGCCACCTGGTACCTTGAGGTACGTAGAAAAAAACATTTGATTTGGAGCGATTAAAGGGTCTCCTGATTTGATTCTGATTCGGCAATTCACTCACCAAATTGGGCCGAATCTCTGCCAAATCAAATCAGCAACCGAAGCTTTGCACAGCCCTAATAAAAACTGTTAGTTATCAGCCAACAAGCAATGATGATATGTAGAATTATGATGTTCTCTCCTTTAGATAAAATCTTTGGTCCTGTCTCATGGCAGAAGGTTGGGAATAAATCTAGCTCCTTTTGCAAAGTTAGGAATGCAGTTCCAGTCATTATCTCCAATTATACACCGTGATAACTAAGTATCGGGCAATCAAGTTCATGTAAGTTATGGAAGGCAACAGATTGCCCACCAATGAAGAAGCCTGTTTAATATGCTTCTCTGTGATATACTACTATCCTTCACTAACTCCTCCAACAATACACTTGGTTTTAGTAATACAAGACCATTTAAAAGTGCTAACAGATGCATTTTTAAGCAACACAGTATATGTCAAACCAATAGATGAAAGCTCTTTTATTGATCAGTATTTACTTGAGGCTTTTTAAGTTCTAGATTAAAAGCAATATAAACATTTTAAAATGATCCTTCATCCTGGCCTCCAGAAATACAGCCACAGCAACAAGGACACTTGATAAACTGGAGTGAAATGAACCCCAAAACTTTTAATGGATGTACAAAAATACATCACATTAAACCCAGATGACTCAATTAAAAGCTTCTAAAATGTTGGAGTTCCTGACAGCCTGCCAACAAGAGTAGTATTCTTGACTTATAATATTAGCGCACACATTCTTACTCTGTTCAAAAATACTTGAAAAATAATAAAGGTTTAGATTCCCAGGAAGCCTGACAGTTATAATGTTAAAAACATAACATTAAAATGTTTTATTCTGAGTGTCCAGGCAGCAAGATCCAAAAATATACTATTTGTTCCTGCCGGAAAAAGCTTTGCTTCTCTCCTTTAATGTATGATTCTGTTTACATAATGTCACTGCAGCTCAGTTTCATCACCATCCATTATGCTGCAACAATGTATCTGTCTTTAAACAATAAAATAAGAGAGAGAGAGAAAGAGGGCGAGACAGCGAGCGAGCAAGCAACAGCGAGTGAGCAAGTCACAGAAAGACAGAGAGTGAATGCAGAAGTGCGTGCGCATGCTTCTGAAGTGCAAAGAATGGCAAACTCATTTTTCAACTTATGGAGGGTTTTTAAGCCATTTGATAGTTCCCAGATTTGCAAACCTCCACTTTAAAGGAAATTTTCAAAATTTGATGGTCTCTTGAAGCTAAGCACCCTCAACGTACATGTAAATTAGCTAGGTGAACAGCCTAACCTCCAGAGGTACTATGCACCTGCAGCTCACAGAGGTCTTACTGGTGCTCAGTGTTCTGGAAAGAATTAACATTGATTTAAATGGAGTTATGACAATTCACACATCTAAATACATGCAGTCAATTTCTACAAAAACACTGACCAACTTCCGTGGGGATCAAGATTTCACTATGGTGTCTATATATGGATTTTGGATCCTAACTATGGGAGCCAAATCGGAACACACTGGCCAAGCAGCACAGCTGAGTATTGTAAATGGTCTGTTTCATCTGCACTGCACTATAGTATAATTCCCAGTCTCTTCTTTTTATAAAAACACTAACATAGGAAATGGGGAAGGTGCATTTTAAAATGCAACATTTTTAATAATCTCTAACTCATTTCAGCTAATGCTGGCCCTTTCTCCATATCAAAACTACTCAATCCATTCTCAAATGCTCAGTTCTTGGCCAAGTTCTCCCTCCTCCCCTCCCCAGTATACTGTCCTCTCCCAGAGTTCATTTATATGGACCTTTAAGTACCCCTTTTACACTAATGTTATTCAAATACATATCTTAACCTCTGTAGTATAATATTACACTCTTCTTCACCTGTGTATTGATTGCAGGCTTCCTTTAAACTAAACTTCAAGAGAAATGCTTCTCTTGGGGGGGGGGGGAAGCAGTGTCTTCAAACAGCTACTTTTTTCCTGTTTTTCTCTTCAGCTGACAACCCATTTTGCTGTCACTGTCTGTAGATGTGATAAGAACCAGGACTGTTCCAAAAAAAAAAGAAAAAGAAAAAAAGAAACCTCTTTCCTCTTCTTTTTACATCTCTTACCAGTTGTGCACTACTGCCTATAAGTGCCACTACTTCAATTTAATTTCAGGCCTGCTAAAACCCTACATAAATGCTTCTGAATCTTTTTAGACTCAAGGCACCTCTGAATACTCAGGGCATCCCTTGGAAAGTGCCAGCTCTTATTTTTCACTTTTTTGACTACAGAAGAGTAATAGAGCAGTGTTTCTGTTAAAAGAACTCAGAAGGACCACAACTATAGATTTCTATGTGAAATCTCTAGGTTTGTCTTGTGAATCATGTTTGTAAACTTACCAGTTCTAACGTTGTGTGCCACCCTGTGGCACCCTTGAAAGGATCTCAAGGCACCCCAGGGTGCTGTGGACCCTGATGGAGAGCCACTGTCCCAAACTAAGCCTTTATTTCTTTTTCCAAGTCTCTTTGCTATGAACTCCTGAAGTTTCTGTTCTGCATGTGGATCATATACAGAATACTGTTCCCTACTACAGCATATCACAATGGGACCACGAAACCTGCATCTTCCTTTAGTTCACTGGATCTGTTCCATGTTCCAAATCAGTGGCACCCCCTGAGAGTGCCACCCTCTGACAGGCCATGCTTCCCGCTTAGGCAACGGGCAGGCAGGAGCACCAGTGCTTCCCCTGAAAGCACCAGCTGGGGAGTGGGAGTGCCAGATGCCATGCCACGGCCACTTCCGGGAGTGGTGCAGCCACATACCTGCCAGCACAATTGGCTATGGGGGGACACCCCCAGTCACTGACTGGTTGCTGGGAGGGCATGACTAAGGTGGCACCAGTCACCAGATAAAATGTTCCAGATAAAATCCGTCTTCATTTGTAAAGTCATCGCCAGATTTCCTCCTTCTGCTCCCTCATACTCATTCCTTTTCACTATTTCATCACTGTTGCTTTTCTCTTATGTAGTCCCTGACATATTTAATAGCATTCCTGAATCTCAACACTTTACAGCCATTTAATAGGGCTGTGCAAAGCTTTGGATGCTGATTTGATTCAGAGGAGATTCAGCCTGATCAATTAAAAGGGCCAAATCGATTCGAAGCTCTCCGAATTGATTCGGAAAAAGATTTGGAGAGCTTTGGTGATTTGGGCAGTCCCTGCCTGCTGCAGCAGAGAGGTGGACCTGGACTCCATGCTGGTAAGTAGGATGCAGGGAAGGAGGGGGCTGGAGAAGGGGGAAGGGGACCATGGGGGGGCCCACAAGGCCCCATCCCCTGCCTGCTGGCTCAGCCCCACTCCAAGCACCCCCCAACCTCCATCCACTCCCCCAGCACCCTCATGGCTGCCCCACCCACCCCACCTCCTGGCCCTTTTAAAAATAGCCCTCACCCACCAGGTGCTGCCAGGTGGGGGGGGGCAATCTCCACTGCCCCCCACTGCCCCATGCCATGTGGGGGGCCTTGCCACAAGCCCCTCAACCCCCACCCACTTACCCAGCCCCTTCCCATGGCTACCCTGCCCACCCCAGCTCCAGCCCTTTAAGGAAAAAAAACCAAAAGAACCCCCCAGACTCACCTGCTTCTGCAGTGGCCTTGGGGCTTCTGAGGGTTTGTGGAAGAGCCTCCCATGCAATGCAGTGTAGTGTGGGGCAGTGTGGATTGCCCCCCCCAACCAGGCAGGAGCTGGTGAGTCAGGGCTTTTTTTTTGTTCTTTGGGGGTTTTTTTAAAAGGCCAGAAGCTGGGACTCATGGGGCAGCCATGAGGGGGGCTGGGAGGCTCATGGCAGAGCCCCCCACATGGTGTGGCAGTACAGGGCAGCAAGGATTCCCACCCCCCGGGCAGCACCTGGTAAGTAGGGGCTTTTTTTTTTCAAAGAGCTGGGAGCTGGGGCAGGTGGGGCAGCCGTTGCCGGGGCCGGGAGAGCAGGCAGGAGATGGGGCCTGTGTGAGTTGGAGATTCAGCTGATTTGGCAGCAGCTGAACCTCCAAATCAGATTTGGCCAAATTGATTCGGGATAGTGATTCGAATCACTGAATCCGAAGCAAATACTAGCCGCTTCACACAGGCCTACCATTTAAATCTCTTTCCCCCATGCATATGCCACTTAATTCCTTTCTTCCACTGTTCTTGTTTGAAGATAGCATGTAATGACAAATAGTGTGGGCCTGAAAGATGGAAAAAACAACTGGTATTATCTTGTACTATGATGTGATGTGATTTGAGAGTTAACTCTTTTTTATCATATACATTTCTGTGAATTGGCAAAGTCATATGTACTAATAAGTTGAAATGCGTAAAATATTAAGCTATTGAAGGCATCTTCCAAAATGAGATTCCAAGATTTTCTTCACATTTTAACTCATAACTTCCAGCTAGCTGGTACCTATGCTTTGCTAGGTCAAGCAAGTCCTTCTAGGTTTAGGACTTGTCTATATGGTGGAGTTGATGTAGAATAAAGCTAAACTAGGACATGAAACTACATTTTTCATTAATTTAATTCCAAAGTAGAATAAACTGCCTTTGCATTTAGCACATGCTAGGACAGCCCACAATGAGGAACTAGTGCAGATAGTTTTTATAGTTTTGTATAAAAATTACACCCTAACTTGCCCATGCAAAAAAACCCTTGCACTCCCCTACCACGTTTTGTGGTGAGAAATGCTTCTTTAATTGGTGACAAATTGAGGACAAACTTTAGAAACAACAGTATGTTACATAAAACACTGTGAACCTGCTCAAGAATATATTTAAAGATGATATTATGTAGGGTTATGTACCGGGTTCCCGTTTAATTAAACACATTCAAATGTGTAATCTTTTGCTATAGCTTTTATTATAGTGAGCTTCCACTACTTTCTGATCATAAGTTTTGTTTTGTGACTAGTTAATGGATTCAAGATGAAAGTCTACAGAATGTTTTAGTATTGCACAGACTTAAGCATTCAGAAATTTACTGAGGTGTTAAAAATATCTATTTATAAAGTCTGACTGTGATATCTAATTGCTGTCAATGCAATAAAACCATCTGTGCTACAATTACTTCTGCTTTGCTAATAACGTGAATTGTTTCATCTCTACCATTTGTAATCCAGTAATACCTGACAATGCCAAGATCCCTGAATGCAAAATGTCAAAATATAATGCATTTTTTTTAAATATAGAGGACTTGAAGCTCATAGTTCCAACCATTCCAGCTTACACTAAAGTACTCAATTACTTCATTAGGAAGAATACAAAGTATTTGGAAACAGCACCTAACTGTTTTTGACCAACACTCCAGTCCTAAAAAAACACTTAACAAAATTTCCAACAAACAGTACAACATCTGTACTTTTCTTCCATCCCACAGACCTTACTTTAGTGGCCTGTTTTCATTATTACCGATTCAGCAGTTTGCAAATGCATTGATCAATATTGTGAACCAGTAATAGAATTTAGCTTAAATGCATACCATTTCTACCTCTGCAAATTAACCTGGAAAGCAGAAAGGGATGAATTTCAGTTCCAATGTATGATCCCACAAGAAAACAAAATAAGCAATTTGTGTCACATAGTTCTTTGGGTCATACTGAAATTCTTACTCTTGGGCCATACTGAAATTACTATTACTCATTCCCAGACCTGAACGTTATAAAATCAGATTACAAAGCTTTAGGCTGAAGGAAGAAGAACATATTTGGTCTCCTGACTTTGAGCACACTAAGGCTAAAAACAGATGTCAGGTTTATCTCAGGTCTGACTGTCCTAGACTTCTAACTTACTTCAAAATAGGCAAGAGACAGCCGTTTACACATGCAGCTTGAATAATTATTAATTCAAATTAGCCCCAAATGGTGAGAGGGGCAGGAAAGCGGGTGTTCTATCATGGGACTTCACAGGTAGTTAAAGTGGGAGAATGGGCCTGTAGTAGGATCCCAGAATAATAAAAGGCTTTGTCCCAGGAGAAATCCTACTTCTGTTTTTAGCCTATGATATTGCAAGAGAGTGCTCCTCACCTGCTGTAGTACATGTCTTTCTCTCAATGTCATCAATCTTCTGTGGAGTTCTACTAGTTCATCAAGATATGCCTGGAAATGAACCCCCCACAAAGAAAGAACTTGTTAAGTATACAGTACAGCTGTATATTTTAAAAAGCCTCCATCCAGACTTTGTTCAAAGGATTACAAGTACCAATTTCTACTTGAGCTTTCTTACCAAAAGGGTTCAGCTTACCTCAAACTAACAAGTCAGAATGTGGTCCAGGCCATCACACAGTAAACTTTTGTTACTTTACAGAATAAATTTAAAATTTACCTCTAAAGTATTTAGGTCTCTAAAATAATTTCTATTTTTTTCAATGGTCAAAAAAAGTTTTCAGAAAGACCCATGTATTCTTCATTATGATGAAAACAGGCATTCCTCAGCTGCCAGATTCCAAAGAGCAAATGGAATAGTTAGAAGATGGTTTTGAGTTCAATAGCATACTATTTTTAAGATGCCCTGAGGGATTCAAAAAATAAACAAACAAATTAGTTCAGAGGGGATAAAATCCCCTCCCTCACTGGCACTTTTAAACACCAATTTGCACAAGGGGGAAACTCTTCCATCCATAGGCCAGGGTGTCTGACATCACTTATGTGGAGGGAAAAAAAATTAGGTTTCCAGTCTGGAGGTCACAAACTGTCTGGGGGATCAGAAGCATTTTCCCTTTAATGTTTTTTTTCTGTTTTAACAGGATCACTGGGCGGTGAAGACACAACATAGCTTCTTAGGACACCATCTCTAGAGTGGGGTTGGCAACATTTTTGGGCAGAGTGCCAAAAACACCAACAACCTTGACTTGTAAGATGCTGGTGTGCAAAAAGCAGACAGTGGAGGAGCTGCAAGAGGCCTGATCCTTGTTGTGGTAGTGCAGCCCGGCCCCATCCCTGCCATCTGCCCCAAGGGTTGCGTGCCAAGCTCTGGTACCTGTGTCAGGGGTTGCCTACCCCTGGTGTACAGCATGCCCAGAATAGAGCACCACAAATAGGGATGCTGCATGGATATATGCATTGTTCTCTCTTTCAGGAACAAAACAAGGGATACATATTAGGCTGTTGATGGGAATGAGACACCAAATTACGAGTCCTGGTCTCATGGTAGCACAAAGGTTACTATTACTACTAAATTCTGAACCCTTCAGGAATCTCTATGCTGGGAAGTTGCACGGAGTTAACCAATACAGACATTTAACAAGTGTTATAAAACTCAGTTACCCATGGTCAGTTGACACAACTTTAAAGAAAATAAAATAGTCTTTCCTTTTGCTAAATGCTAACTCTGAGTTAAGCAGCATAACATTAAAATGTATTCAACACTGTCACCTCCAGGCACTTACAAAACCTTGGAAAGGTTTCTGTATAATACCTAGACTGATTGCCTGGGATTTTGGCAGTAGGTTCTGGGCAGGAACTCTCTTTTATTTGTTCTATGAAATATTATGTAAATTTATAGCACTGCCCTAATAATGAAATAGGTGGAAGATACCCATGTAGTATTGAGGGAAAGTACTTAAATGGAAAAAAAAAAAGAAAAGTTCAACAAATGAAAAAAGCCCCTTAGAGTACAGTTTTGGTAACCTGCAAGTTTTCCATTCTGTAAAAAAATTCTACTACTTTGGCAACAATGTAGAAGAGAAAGTACTGTACCTTAATATGGCTTTCTAAATTAATTTACTGTTGTCATGTTCATATTTACCTTATCACAATCGCCATTCTTTATTTGTTTATCAGATTTACTTTGCTTTATTGGGCTTTTCACTTCTAGAATCTGGAGGGGAAAAAAATCCCTGTAAGCATTAATTATATCATTGGGCTATATAAATAATTACATTTAAAAAACCTGCCATCACCCAAAACCAACCAAAAATATAACAACTAGAAGAAATCATAACCAAACTCCACTACTGACCATTCATGCTTTTTGACCTACACAAAATTAGTTTTCTCAGAAAGAACTTACATCAGAAAATGCTGTTTTATTAAGATGAAATTATTAAAAACAAATGGACTTTAAAGAAATTGATTCCTGGACCTTTTTTATTGCTTCTCATGTCCTACATTCAGATGTTTGCAAGGGAAAAGGTGTAATTACTGAAGATACATAATACTGAGGCATACTCTAGGTTCTTGGAAAAGGAGACTTTCAATACAGAGAATAGGAAAACACATTTAACTGACTGCATATTATTGTTTCTTTTTCATGAAGGACACAACTTCCAGACTGCATGAGGTCTAACTGCTCCAAAATGATTTAAATAAAAAAAACAAAAACCTAATGTGGTGGGCTTGCCAGTGGCAGCCCAGCGCGCCAGCTTTGGAAAAGTTTGAAATGGTTGTTGGGGTATTTCCCTTTTCCCCCACTAATCAGGTAAAGGCAGGGGAGAGGCAAAGAGCTGGGCCTGAGAGGGAACTAACACCCCCTTCTCTTTAACTGTTCTGTTTCCTATCTAGGGGTGGAGCCCCCAAAAGGAATAAAAAGGCAGCGCGCCCAGCTTCTTCACTGAGGAATGAAGAAGAGGGTGGAAGAACAGCTGGCCAGCAGGGTGGAGCACTGGCCCCAGAAGAGCCAAAGATGGATTGTCAGACAGGGCAGGGCAAGCGGATGTATCCCCCTGCCCTGCCACGAGGGAGCACAGTGTTGGTGCACAGCCGGTGCACAGAAGGTCCAGGAGGGACTGAGACCCTGGGAGATGCAGGCAGCAGCTCAGGTCTCCAATCCTGGCATGAGGCCAGGCATCCTGGTGCACGGGTTGGTGCATGGAGGGTCCAGGAATGGACCAAGGCCCCAGAGTTGCACAAGCCGCCTAGGGTCTCCACTCTGGCATGAGGCTGGGAATGTGGTGCACAGGTTGGTGCAGGGAGGGTCCAGGAGTGGACCGAGACCCCTGAACTGCACAAGGTGGCTCAGGTCTCCAACTCCTTGCATGAGCCAGAGCCAACAGTGCACAGAGCTCAGAGAGGGCCTGAGGCTGGAAGGGCCTTGAGAAACTGAGGACCCCCTGCTGAGGGAGGAGATGCCTCGGCGGGAGGAACAGGAGGGCCTCATTAGACCTCAGAGAATCGTGAGCTACCAGGGAAAGAGCTTCCCACAATGGAGGAGGGATTTCCTGCTCCCTCATTTGTGGCTAGCAGCTGGAAGGGAAGCCCTGAAGGGAGGACTCCTGGGTTGTGAGGTCCCCCTTGTGGGTGATTCAAACAGGGTTATAGGGTCCCATAGGGCACTGAAAAACTTTCCCCTCTTCTTATCTTTGGGGCACTGTTACTGCATCAGGGTAACATGGACTATCCTTTTGTTTTCTTGGGAATTTAATTTTGGGCATGCTTTGCTCTGCAGCTTATATTTTGTAAATTCTGTGCCTCATATTTTGGAGCCTGCGCCTTATGCTTTGATAGCCTTACACCTCATGAGAGTATAAGTTTGCATGACTGTTAATGAGACCCTTGTTTGACCTCTTGATCTCTAATCAGTATAATATATGGAGTACCTGTATAGGTATGTGTATAAATTGCTTATAGTTCCTATATTTTGTGTATATATGTATATATTATGATTTTCTTATCTTATTAAATTTGTACGTAGTTAAGTTTTATTGCGTGTCCAAGCCTGACTCTATAGGGGAAGGAGGGAAACTACGTGCAGCAGGCAGTTACACCCCACAGAGCACCTGCCCTGCTAACATTCCCTTCAGTTGGAGAGGGGAGTACATAACTGCATACTACCTGGGTTACACTAATATTGTGTTAATATAATGCTTTTCCTTCAAGAAGATTCTAAGCCACTTTGCAAGCTTCAGCCTGCATAATGTACATACTAGACACCAGGATGCCTTCAGCTAGCACTGAAGTTCAGTCATCTCTGGAAAAAGAATGTGTCAACTAAGTCAACAGCACACTGCTTCTATATGACAGTTTTAGGACAGGACAGGGATTTTCTTTCCCCCACTTGGAAACAACAGGTCAGATTTATGTAAACAGCTTGGAACATGGCAGTTTCTGTGAAAAGTGTCAGAGGATGTTTAACAATTACAAACGATCCAGATTTCTGTTTTACATCTCACGGTACAGAAGATAACTTTGGTGACATTTCCACCCTCCCCACTCCCCTCAATACGCTTGGCCAGGGGTTAGCAATGTTTTTGGGCAGAGTGCCAAAAACACCCCAACCTTGACTTGCAAGATGTTGCCATGCTAGAGATGGATGGTGGGGAAGCTGTGAGGGACCTTCTCCTTGTTGTGGGAGTAGAGCCCAGACCCTTCCCCATCATCTGCCCCAAGTTGTGTGTGCACCTGCTGCCAGAAAGAAGTTGGTGCAGGTCTCTGCAGACCCCAGTGCAGCCACTTACAGCTTCCCCGCCGCCTGCTGCAAGCACCCCAGCCTCCCTGGTGTGTGGCCAGGGCCTGGCCAGAGCTTGGGCCTGCTGTGGCAGGTGGCTGGGAGGCTGCAAGCCACTGTACCAAGGTCTGTGGAGCCCTGGGTGGCTTGCTGCTTGTGGTGGATGCACAGGCACCTCCAGGTGGATGGTGGGGGAGCTGTGAGGGGCTCAATCCTTCTTGTGGCAGCACAGCCCTGGCCCCTTCACCACCATCTGCCCCAAGGCATGCATGCCAAGCAAAATGCCTTTTCATGCCATGCTCTTGCATACATGTCAGGGGTTGCTGATGCAGCTGCCCTGAATGCCACCTTGGTGAATGGGTGCAAAAAATAGTCGTGACCACAGTGGTGGCTAATCATCACGAATCCTGGTTTTCTCTGATTTAAAAAAAATCCCCAATTTTCAGTTAAAAAATGTAACCCCAAATCCAAATTTTTCTGGGATTGAAATAAAACACCACTAATATATAGATATATATATATAGTGGTGTTTCATTTTAATCATAGAACAATGTGGATTTGGGGTTACTTTTTTTTAACTGAAAATTGGGAATTTTTTTACATTGGAGAAAACCAGGATCCTTGCTGATCATACCACTGTGATTGCAACCGTAGCAGCAGAGACTGCTCTGGGCATTGCGTAGTTGCTACAAGTGTGGCGCTGCCCATCTATGCCTCTAATTGCATTTATGCTCTATAGGGTGCTAGCAACCTAAAAAATTAATACACATTCATGCTAGCTCTGGCTGCTTCCCTCATGGACAAAAGGAACAAATGCCTTACTTAACCATAATTGTTTATTTTACTAAGAAAGGTGCATGACTGAAATACAAATGATGAAGCCACTGGGAGTGAAGGGAAGAATCTTAGTTTTAACAGGCCTGGAGGCTGCTATAGTTTGGGGTGGAAGAAAAGTAATCTTCTCTTGACAAAAGAAATATTTCTGGAAAAAATGTCAGGTTTTTCAGGCGCTGTTTTATTACTTTAAAAAGAAAAAAAAAAAGCTTATAAGCTAAGAGTGATATTTGACATGCAGTAATCCTAACACCAGAAAGTACTTTCAAACAATTCAGTAGCTAGGACAAAGTATAGCTGAAGATAGCTCTCAGCCTATCATTGTAAGATCTGTTTTCCTGAGCTCTGATCACGTGCGTGGCTCTTCTCTGGACTCTCTCAAGCTTCTCCATATCCTTTTTGAATTATGAAGCCCAAAACTGGATGCAGTACTCCAGCTGCGGCCTCACCAAGGCGGAATACAAAGGGAGAATGATATCCTGGGATTTGCTTGAGAAACATCTATGGTTGCAAGGCAGCATTTTGCTCGCTTTACTAGCCGCAGCATTGCATTGCAAGCTCATGTTCATCTTGTGGTCAATCATGACCCTCAAGTCCCTTTCATCCATAGTGCTAGCCACCATAGCACTGCCGAGCTTATAAGGATGCTGCAGGTTTTTCTTCCCAAGGTGGAGAACCTTGCATTTTTCAGTGTTAAACACTATCAGGTTCTCATCTGCCCATTTCCTGAGCCTGTCAAGGTTAGCCTGGATCACCCTCCTGTCCTCAGGTGTGGACGCTTTACCCCAGAGTTTGGTGACGTCGGTGAAGTTGGCCAGTCTGCTTCTGATACCAATGTCCACATCATTAATGAAGATGTTGAAGAATACGGGTCCAAGGACAGAGTCTTGAAGGACCCTACTGGTCACAGGGCACCACAATGACTGACTTCTGTCAATCACCACTCTCTGGGTCTGACCACGGAGCCAATTCCCCAGCCAGCGGATCATGGTGGACCCGACGCCGCAGTTGGCCAGTTTTGCCAAGAGGTGATCATGAGATACCAGATCAAAGGCTCTTCTGAAGTCAAGATATATGATGTCAATCTCCTCTCCCTTGTCCAGGTGATAGGTCACCTGGTTGTAAAAGGAAACGAGATTGGTCTAGCAAGATCTACCCACAACAAACCCATGCTGGGTATCCTTCAGGATGTTGCCATCGGCCAGTCCGTTGAGGATTTTTTTTAAAACCTTCCCTGGGACAGAGGTCAGGCTGATGAGCCTACAGTTTGCCAGATCCACTTTCCTCCCTTTCTTGAAGATAGGCACCACACCAGCCTTCTTCCAGTCTTCAGGCACTTCCCCAGAGCACCAGGAATTCTCGAAGATCCGTGCCAGGGGCTGAACTATGATGCTAGCCAGCTCCCTGGGGTGTAAACCGTCAGGGTCGGCTTACTTCAAGGTGTCCAGCCTCTCAAGGTGTTCCTTCACGAGGTCAGCATTGATGTTGGGTAAGGGATCTCTCCGACCTGGGCCTCGCTGTCCCGTAATGGGCATGGGCAACCCATGGGACTGATGAAAAACCGACACAAAGTACCCATTTAGTAGGTTGGCTTTTTCCCT